TTATGTCTCGGTTTAGGAGGGAACCGAGGCGTATAGCCATTTTATTTATTTTTTTTAATTTTTTTCTGAGGACTATAGGCCTCGGTGGAGAGTATAACCGAGGTAGTATTCAAAAAAAAATTCCTACATATTTCATTTCCCCTATTCCAGTACGTTTCACTCTTCCCTCATCCCCTCCCTCCTCTCCTGCAACCCCTCCCATTCTCCAGTCCCCTCTCCCTCAACTCCATCATTCCCTCACCAACCTCTTCTCCCTCCACCATGACGAAGAGCGAGCGAGCGACGGTGCGGCGAGAGAGTTCATGACAGTGCGGCGAGAGCCTGTGACGGTGCTGCGAGAGCCTGCGACGGTGCGGCGAGACAGCCCGTGACGGTGCGACGGGAGCTCGCAATGGCGGTTGCGATGGCGGAAACCCTTTTCTCATGGAGCAGCAAGGAGGCGGCGGCAGTGAGGATGCAGCGGCGGCGACATGGTGGCGGTTAGGCGCTGGATCTGCGTTTTGGTTTTTGGTTCTGTTTCTCTGCAGGTGGATGGCAAATAGATCTCTGATTTTGGTTTTTGGTTTGGATCTCTGATTTTGGTTTTTGGTTTGGATACTGTTTATCTGATTTTTGGTTTTTGGTTTGGATATTGTTTCTCTAAAGCTTTTGATTGCTTGCTCCGTCATGGAATAAAGTCTCCTCCTCCTCTCTTCCACCTTCATCGTCGTCTCCTCCGTTTGCTCTCTCACCGCTTCCTATTTTCCCCTTCTTAGATTGGAGCAATCATCTGAGTTTTTGTCAAAGTAATTTTGCCCCCAAAAACATGGATGAAAACAATTACAGATAAGCTTGAGATTAAAAAAGACAAAGAAGTTTAAGGAACAAAGAGAATAAGAAAACATAACAGAACGTGAAACCAACACTGATCTCGGTTGAAAATAAAAAAATTAAAAAACTCTACTGCCTCGGTTGTCTATGAACGGAGGCAGAATCTGAACCCTTTTGATTCGGTTCAGAACCGAGGCAAAAAACCTATCTCTTTTACCTCGTCTGTATATATCTCGATCGCGGAACCGGTGTCTATACGTGAAAATAACCGAGGCCCAATTGCACTAGTGTAAGTTAAATTGAGAAGAAATTTTAAAAGACACACGTTTATATTAAAAACCAATTCGCTCCCCTCTTGATTTGTTATCACACGTTAACCATTCCGCTGCAACCGCTCTGACAAGTTAATAAAATATCATCAAGTTTTGCGTGCCACTTTAATTGTTTAGGTTTTAAAAAATTTACAATTTGTTCTCTTGATTAAAAATTATTTAGATTGAGTTATATAAGTTTCTTTGTATAGTTCATTCAAAAAGATAATCTATATAGCCATGGATGAATAGCTTTTGAATAAATATTAGAACTAACAAAGTAAGCACATGAAATTTTGATATTTGGAATAAACATATTCAATAAGATATGTTGGCTTTTTTATTTAAAGTATTTTGCTACTAACCTCACCTTATATATATTTCTTTTTTCTATAAATCCATTAAGATAATACTCTTTTTCTTAAAGATCTCCGTAGAACCAATTAACTTTGCTTCTTTGAGCAAATATACTAAGTCCACCTATTACTTTTCTTTATATAATTAATTTATGTCCAATAAGAGCAGTAAATTCTAAAAAACTTATTAGATTATTTTTAGTTAGGTAAGTGTGAAAATTATTCCCAAATTTATTTCTGTCTTTTAGTTCTTTTAAGTCTCGACGATTTCGCTAGTATATTAAATCACGTATATCTTCAAAGACTCCATACTTTTAGTCTTTATTACTATAGTATTATATTGAATTACATTCTTTTTAGACTTAAATATAATTTAAGTCTTTGAAAATTTTTAATTGAATTCTTGATAATTTTTTATAATTTATTAAGTATTCAATAAATTTAAATTTTTTAAGTGAATCTTTATTTAATTTTTTGTGTTAAGTTAGTATGGGACGATTAAGTGACTAACGGTAATTATGATCTTATTATGTCACCTTACTAATACTACATGAAATTTTATAATTTATTATAAAATTATAAAACTCAGTAAAGTGACATGATAAAAAATAAGCCCCTTAATAATCACATAACTAAGTTAATAAAATATGTTAACAACAGATATTCAATTAAAAATTTAAATTTTTTAAAAAAGAGGTTATTAAACATTGAATTAAAAATTTCTTTGAAACCTAATTAAACCTTACTTTAAAGAATAAAAAAAAATTACAAACAACACTATGTTTATCCTAACAACATGTTATTAAATATTTTAGAACTTATTTTCCTTTTTGAGGATTAAGTAATATTATCTTAACTACACACCCGTACACTTTTACATTGTGTTTAAATAAATAATAATAATTAAAATAAAAAAATAATTAAAAGTATAATTCATTTTCATAGAAAAATTGAAATTTTTATGGTAAAATATGTTGTTTGGTAAGAAAATTTTCATATTATCAAATCCATTCTTTTCTCTTGGATATTTTGTTTTTAACTTGATTTTAGTTGACAATCATCATCAACTTGACCATGACAAAATTAGCTTGGCTACTATTCAAGTGTCATAATCTCAAGTGTCATAATCTCAACAGTGTTTTTTTAAAGGTTTAATATTTTTGTAAGTCCTATTTTTTTATCAGACTCTAAAAAGGACATTTACTTATTGATTTTCTGAATTGGGTCCTTATTTTTTAAAATTTGAAACAAATAGAATCTTGTCATTGAATTGGACTAATGTTGTTAGACTGACGTGTACGTGGCATGTTGGCGGTGTTTTTTTAATGACGTGGCGTAAGTTATATGGTAATAAGGTTATTGTGACGTGTAAACTCATATTTTTGAATTAAAAAATCGGGGAAATTTTAATTCAACTCAACCCCTTTGTTCGAATTACGATTTGTGAAAAGAAATTGAGAAAAACTGTGAGTGGTCCTTCGAATTAGGGTTCTTGACCAAAATGGATAATCAATTGAAGATGTGTCATTCATGTTCTTCTTCAATATGTAATCGGTGGCAGAATCGCACTAACAATGCCTTCACTTCCTCCTCTGACGGCATTGGCGATGGTGTTGCCTTCTCCCACATGTCTTGTGGGTTCGATTTGAACTTTCTGACACTGCTCATGGAGTTTTGGTCATTGGTGGGTTTGACTTCAAGAAAAAAAGTTGACGAAGGCCATGAGTAAGAGGTGGAAATGAAACATCCATTATTTTGGATCATCTAGTGAGAGATCAAGAACACACTTGAACTTTTAAACAAAAAACAATAAATTGAAGTGCAACATACACTATATAAATTAAGTGACACCTCTCCATTTCCTATTAAGACCATATATTCTTTGACATTGTATTCCACAATCTTTGACTCCTTAAATAACTAGGGTATATGCAGACAAAAAGAATTTGGAAATTTAAGTGCATGAGTTGATTTTAATTCATTTATCTTTTTCGATAAGTACTTAGCGAGAAATTTAGCCTGATGTTCTGTAACACACAAATATTTTGATGTAATTATTAGTTTGAAAAGGTGAGAACTTTATTTAGAACATCCATCATTTTGAATCATCCAGTAAGTACAACATCTAACATTTCAGCATTTTGAACACACAATAATTCATGTAGTTCAACCACCACTATAATCCCTCAATTTTCTTAACCTATGTTACAAACTCAATCCAACTTTTTCTCCACCATAACTACGATTAAGTTCAAATCCATTTTAATTTCTGTTCTCCTAGATCATGGTCGAAATATGTGATGGGATAACACCGCTGCCCATTTGGGGCAGCAGTGAAGCCGCATGTACCAGCGCATAGGTTGTGAAAATGGGGTTATGTGAAACCCTAAAATTTTTCGAACCAAATCTCTAATTTCCAGAAACAATTCAGTTTGCGATTCTGGTGGGGAAAGACGAGTTTGACCGTAGCTTCTTGGTTTCTTGGGATTTTGCAATTCTAATTGTGAGGATGATGAAGATGGTGGCCGAACAATGTTAATGGTGGTTGATGCAAGGTGAAAATAGTAGTGCAAAAGGGTTGAGGGAGAAGGATGATGACAGGTGAAATCCCTAATTTTCATAAACAATTTAGTTCAATTGCAATTTTTTTAATTTAAAAAAAGAACAAAATTCCACGTTAACAATTTGCCACATCATTAAAAAAACTAACATCAGCATCCACATCAACATAATTCTAAGTCCAATTTAACGACAAAGTTTTATTTATTTCAATTTTTTAAAAATAAGAACTCAACTGAGAAAATAACAAAAAAGGATCGTATTTAAAAGTCTAACCCAAAATTAGGATCTACCGAATCATTAAACCTTTTTTAAATATCGACAAAGGATTCTTTCAAACTAAAGCCAAGCCTTTTTTTTTGGCCTACAGAATCAAATTTATTTTATTGTTGATGTTAGGTCGACTTTATTTCCCACCAATCATTAGTCAATGTTTTCTTAATCAACATTAACAATGTTCTTTGACCAGTGTCAGACATTTTTTTTTCCCAATTTATGTGAACTCAGGTAAATTTATGTGAATCGAGTCGAGTTTTAAACCAATATCAATTATAGTTATTTTTTGGACAACATAATTCATGATTATTTCTTCAACATTAGGATTTTGCTGGCCAATGTAACAGGATTTCTCTTCGATTGATCTTGATTATGGTTGTACCGTACGGCCCACACCCGAAATAATGGTTTTTTTTCTTATTGATGTTAATAGAAATTTTTTTATTTGCGTTGCCAGGATTATTTTATTGTTGTTGATGTTGTTGCAGATTATTATTATTTTACTGCATATTAGTTAGAATTTTCTCAACCATTGTTAAGGACATTATTTGTAGATTTTCTTGATTGACGTTTAATTGTAGTTTTCTTTTATTGATATCTACAACGATTCCAATGGATCTCAAAAAGCATACCTTGACCTCCCCCATGAAATTAGCTCCACATAACATTCCAATGGAAAAACCAGAAAAACCAGGGAAAGAAAAGGAACCCTCATTAAATCAGAAATAGTATTGAGCTGTGCAGAATGACAATGTCTCTAAACTACTAAAATCATGTTTCCATCCATGACTTTGGCAGTGAAGATCCGAATATTTGGTGAAGCAGTATTTTCTCCCTTTTGCTTAGCTTGTTTATGCCATATCCCCGAAAAACTCCTANAAAAAATAATAATATAAATGAATATAAAAAATTTGTGTATAAAAATATTATTTTTATTAATAAAAAAAGTAGTTAGTTATGTTAGCAAAATGACGAAGATGAAGTTTTGATGATGTCCAAATCAAGTCAAAAAAAAATCAAGATTCAAGAAGATCTTACGAAGAATTGTATTGTAATAGAAAGCTTTTATAATAATTGTAGTTCAGTGTCTAGGACTTAGATTTTTAGAGGTTTTGATTTCATGTACTTTCATATTTTGTAGTTGATGTTCAGAGTCAAAATGGCACTGTTTTAATCGATTAAAACTAGTATTAATCGATTAAATAGAGTAAAGCTGAAAACTCAAACTGTCTCTGAAATAATAGATTAAAATAATTTTTAATCGATTAACTAATCGATTAAAACGTAGATTAATCAATTAAATGTGACCGTTGGAGTTTTCTAGCCATTGTAACTAGCCGTTGTACTCATTTTAATCGATTAACAAGTATATTAATCGATTAAAAATGTTGAATGGTTGGAAACAAAGAACGGAAGAGTCTTTGCTTGAGTCTATAAATAGGCTCTCATTTTCCTTTAACAACAACTCTTCCCTTGTGCTCTAAAACTCAGAAACCTTTGAGACTTTGTGTGTTCTTGTTCGGCTTGATAAACTCTCGTCTTTGGAGCTGATGAAGTGCTGCCACGGTGACAGAGGAATAGCCTATTCATCCTTGGTGCATCTAAGGAGGTGTTTGGAAGAGGAAATAATCCTTCATGAAGTATTCGGAGGAAGCGTTCATCCTTTGTGAATATTTAAAGGAGGTGTTCATCCTTTGTGAAGTATTCGGAGGAGGTATTCGTCCTTTGGTGTGTTTAAGGGAAGTGTGTCTCATCTCTTCTGTCTTCAAGAGAGGTGTTTTCTAAACTATTACAAATTGTATATGTGTGATTATAGTTTGTAATTGTTTAGTGATAAGTGAATTGTTTATCTTGTTTTGAGATAGGCGACTGGATGTAGGATTAGTAAGATCCGAACCAGGATAAAATCATCTGTGCAAATTTCTCTCAACTTTACTCTTTTTACTTTGTCATTATTATTTACTTAGTAACACTAGGAAAAACCAAAGTCTATCAAAACGCGGTGGCATTTTTGTAATTTAGGCGAACTTATATGCCTCGGTTCAAGAGGACCCGAAACATATAAGTAATATTACCTCGGTTGATAGCAAAACCGATGCCTAAAAGTCTACCTTTCTGTCTGACGGGTCTGAAATTTGAAGTCTGCACAGAGCCTATGGTTTCGGTTCATTCAGAACCGGTGCGAAACCATGTTTATGTCTCGGTTTAGGAGGGAACCGAGGCGTATAGCCATTTTATTTATTTTTTTTAATTTTTTTCTGAGGACTATAGGCCTCGGTGGAGAGTATAACCGAGGTAGTATTCAAAAAAAAATTCCTACATATTTCATTTCCCCTATTCCAGTACGTTTCACTCTTCCCTCATCCCCTCCCTCCTCTCCTGCAACCCCTCCCATTCTCCAGTCCCCTCTCCCTCAACTCCATCATTCCCTCACCAACCTCTTCTCCCTCCACCATGACGAAGAGCGAGCGAGCGACGGTGCGGCGAGAGAGTTCTTGACAGTGCGGCGAGAGCCTGTGACGGTGCTGCGAGAGCCTGCGACGGTGCGGCGAGACAGCCCGTGACGGTGCGACGGGAGCTCGCAATGGCGGTTGCGATGGCGGAAACCCTTTTCTCATGGAGCAGCAAGGAGGCGGCGGCAGTGAGGATGCAGCGGCGGCGACATGGTGGCGGTTAGGCGCTGGATCTGCGTTTTGGTTTTTGGTTCTGTTTCTCTGCAGGTGGATGGCAAATAGATCTCTGATTTTGGTTTTTGGTTTGGATCTCTGATTTTGGTTTTTGGTTTGGATACTGTTTATCTGATTTTTGGTTTTTGGTTTGGATATTGTTTCTCTAAAGCTTTTGATTGCTTGCTCCGTCATGGAATAAAGTCTCCTCCTCCTCTCTTCCACCTTCATCGTCGTCTCCTCCGTTTGCTCTCTCACCGCTTCCTATTTTCCCCTTCTTAGATTGGAGCAATCATCTGAGTTTTTGTCAAAGTAATTTTGCCCCCAAAAACATGGATGAAAACAATTACAGATAAGCTTGAGATTAAAAAAGACAAAGAAGTTTAAGGAACAAAGAGAATAAGAAAACATAACAGAACGTGAAACCAACACTGATCTCGGTTGAAAATAAAAAAATTAAAAAACTCTACTGCCTCGGTTGTCTATGAACGGAGGCAGAATCTGAACCCTTTTGATTCGGTTCAGAACCGAGTCAAAAAACCTATCTCTTTTACCTCGTCTGTATATATCTCGATCGCGGAACCGGTGTCTATACGTGAAAATAACCGAGGCCCAATTGCACTAGTGTAAGTTAAATTGAGAAGAAATTTTAAAAGACACACGTTTATATTAAAAACCAATTCGCTCCCCTCTTGATTTGTTATCACACGTTAACCATTCCGCTGCAACCGCTCTGACAAGTTAATAAAATATCATCAAGTTTTGCGTGCCACTTTAATTGTTTAGGTTTTAAAAAATTTACAATTTGTTCTCTTGATTAAAAATTATTTAGATTGAGTTATATAAGTTTCTTTGTATAGTTCATTCAAAAAGATAATCTATATAGCCATGGATGAATAGCTTTTGAATAAATATTAGAACTAACAAAGTAAGCACATGAAATTTTGATATTTGGAATAAACATATTCAATAAGATATGTTGGCTTTTTTATTTAAAGTATTTTGCTACTAACCTCACCTTATATATATTTCTTTTTTCTATAAATCCATTAAGATAATACTCTTTTTCTTAAAGATCTCCGTAGAACCAATTAACTTTGCTTCTTTGAGCAAATATACTAAGTCCACCTATTACTTTTCTTTATATAATTAATTTATGTCCAATAAGAGCAGTAAATTCTAAAAAACTTATTAGATTATTTTTAGTTAGGTAAGTGTGAAAATTATTCCCAAATTTATTTCTGTCTTTTAGTTCTTTTAAGTCTCGACGATTTCGCTAGTATATTAAATCACGTATATCTTCAAAGACTCCATACTTTTAGTCTTTATTACTATAGTATTATATTGAATTACATTCTTTTTAGACTTAAATATAATTTAAGTCTTTGAAAATTTTTAATTGAATTTTTGATAATTTTTTATAATTTATTAAGTATTCAATAAATTTAAATTTTTTAAGTGAATCTTTATTTAATTTTTTGTGTTAAGTTAGTATGGGACGATTAAGTGACTAACGGTAATTATGATCTTATTATGTCACCTTACTAATACTACATGAAATTTTATAATTTATTATAAAATTATAAAACTCAGTAAAGTGACATGATAAAAAATAAGCCCCTTAATAATCACATAACTAAGTTAATAAAATATGTTAACAACAGATATTCAATTAAAAATTTAAATTTTTTAAAAAAGAGGTTATTAAACATTGAATTAAAAATTTCTTTGAAACCTAATTAAACCTTACTTTAAAGAATAAAAAAAAATTACAAACAACACTATGTTTATCCTAACAACATGTTATTAAATATTTTAGAACTTATTTTCCTTTTTGAGGATTAAGTAATATTATCTTAACTACACACCCGTACACTTTTACATTGTGTTTAAATAAATAATAATAATTAAAATAAAAAAATAATTAAAAGTATAATTCATTTTCATAGAAAAATTGAAATTTTTATGGTAAAATATGTTGTTTGGTAAGAAAATTTTCATATTATCAAATCCATTCTTTTCTCTTGGATATTTTGTTTTTAACTTGATTTTAGTTGACAATCATTATCAACTTGACCATGACAAAATTAGCTTGGCTACTATTCAAGTGTCATAATCTCAAGTGTCATAATCTCAACAGTGTTTTTTTAAAGGTTTAATATTTTTGTAAGTCCTATTTTTTTATCAGACTCTAAAAAGGACATTTACTTATTGATTTTCTGAATTGGGTCCTTATTTTTTAAAATTTGAAACAAATAGAATCTTGTCATTGAATTGGACTAATGTTGTTAGACTGACGTGTACGTGGCATGTTGGCGGTGTTTTTTTAATGACGTGGCGTAAGTTATATGGTAATAAGGTTATTGTGACGTGTAAACTCATATTTTTGAATTAAAAAATCGGGGAAATTTTAATTCAACTCAACCCCTTTGTTCGAATTACGATTTGTGAAAAGAAATTGAGAAAAACTGTGAGTGGTCCTTCGAATTAGGGTTCTTGACCAAAATGGATAATCAATTGAAGATGTGTCATTCATGTTCTTCTTCAATATGTAATCGGTGGCAGAATCGCACTAACAATGCCTTCACTTCCTCCTCTGACGGCATTGGCGATGGTGTTGCCTTCTCCCACATGTCTTGTGGGTTCGATTTGAACTTTCTGACACTGCTCATGGAGTTTTGGTCATTGGTGGGTTTGACTTCAAGAAAAAAAGTTGACGAAGGCCATGAGTAAGAGGTGGAAATGAAACATCCATTATTTTGGATCATCTAGTGAGAGATCAAGAACACACTTGAACTTTTAAACAAAAAACAATAAATTGAAGTGCAACATACACTATATAAATTAAGTGACACCTCTTCATTTCCTATTAAGACCATATATTCTTTGACATTGTATTCCACAATCTTTGACTCCTTAAATAACTAGGGTATATGCAGACAAAAAGAATTTGGAAATTTAAGTGCATGAGTTGATTTTAATTCATTTATCTTTTTCGATAAGTACTTAGCGAGAAATTTAGCCTGATGTTCTGTAACACACAAATATTTTGATGTAATTATTAGTTTGAAAAGGTGAGAACTTTATTTAGAACATCCATCATTTTGAATCATCCAGTAAGTACAACATCTAACATTTCAGCATTTTGAACACACAATAATTCATGTAGTTCAACCACCACTATAATCCCTCAATTTTCTTAACCTATGTTACAAACTCAATCCAACTTTTTCTCCACCATAACTACGATTAAGTTCAAATCCATTTTAATTTCTGTTCTCCTAGATCATGGTCGAAATATGTGATGGGATAACACCGCTGCCCATTTGGGGCAGCAGTGAAGCCGCATGTACCAGCGCATAGGTTGTGAAAATGGGGTTATGTGAAACCCTAAAATTTTTCGAACCAAATCTCTAATTTCCAGAAACAATTCAGTTTGCGATTCTGGTGGGGAAAGACGAGTTTGACCGTAGCTTCTTGGTTTCTTGGGATTTTGCAATTCTAATTGTGAGGATGATGAAGATGGTGGCCGAACAATGTTAATGGTGGTTGATGCAAGGTGAAAATAGTAGTGCAAAAGGGTTGAGGGAGAAGGATGATGACAGGTGAAATCCCTAATTTTCATAAACAATTTAGTTCAATTGCAATTTTTTTAATTTAAAAAAAGAACAAAATTCCACGTTAACAATTTGCCACATCATTAAAAAAACTAACATCAGCATCCACATCAACATAATTCTAAGTCCAATTTAACGACAAAGTTTTATTTATTTCAATTTTTTAAAAATAAGAACTCAACTGAGAAAATAACAAAAAAGGATCGTATTTAAAAGTCTAACCCAAAATTAGGATCTACCGAATCATTAAACCTTTTTTAAATATCGACAAAGGATTCTTTCAAACTAAAGCCAAGCCTTTTTTTTTGGCCTACAGAATCAAATTTATTTTATTGTTGATGTTAGGTCGACTTTATTTCCCACCAATCATTAGTCAATGTTTTCTTAATCAACATTAACAATGTTCTTTGACCAGTGTCAGACATTTTTTTTTCCCAATTTATGTGAACTCAGGTAAATTTATGTGAATCGAGTCGAGTTTTAAACCAATATCAATTATAGTTATTTTTTGGACAACATAATTCATGATTATTTCTTCAACATTAGGATTTTGCTGGCCAATGTAACAGGATTTCTCTTCGATTGATCTTGATTATGGTTGTACCGTACGGCCCACACCCGAAATAATGGTTTTTTTTCTTATTGATGTTAATAGAAATTTTTTTATTTGCGTTGCCAGGATTATTTTATTGTTGTTGATGTTGTTGCAGATTATTATTATTTTACTGCATATTAGTTAGAATTTTCTCAACCATTGTTAAGGACATTATTTGTAGATTTTCTTGATTGACGTTTAATTGTAGTTTTCTTTTATTGATATCTACAACGATTCCAATGGATCTCAAAAAGCATACCTTGACCTCCCCCATGAAATTAGCTCCACATAACATTCCAATGGAAAAACCAGAAAAACCAGGGAAAGAAAAGGAACCCTCATTAAATCAGAAATAGTATTGAGCTGTGCAGAATGACAATGTCTCTAAACTACTAAAATCATGTTTCCATCCATGACTTTGGCAGTGAAGATCCGAATATTTGGTGAAGCAGTATTTTCTCCCTTTTGCTTAGCTTGTTTATGCCATATCCCCGAAAAACTCCTAATTTCAATGCTTCTCTTCCTTCATCAACAACCCTTTTCCTCACAGCGGTCAATAAAGATGAACCATGAGGAGTTTCGCTGTTTCCAGCTTTCGCTGTTTCATCATGTACCATCTTGGCTTCCCCTGCTTTCTCCTCAGGTTGAGTCTTGGCTCCATTGGCACTAGTGCCTGCACAATCATCATGGTCCCCATTACCCCACCATTTATTTGAAGTGGCTGATAAGCCTTCTGACGGAAATCCAGACTTGAATTCATCCATTGTTGTCATTGCTTTGGTCAAGCCAGCATTGGCCACATTCTGCGTCCGTGCACTTTCCACATTCTTGTTTCCTTGCTGCTGCGAATTTTGCAGCACTGTAATACCTTGTGCTTTGGCCCTCTCATCATTTGTTTGTTGCAAGACACTGCCCTCAAACATCAGATTACCATAGATTAGATATACAGGATAATCAAATAGGTTAGAAAGTCTATGCCTATTATTAGTCTAAACAGCATCTGCTGACCTGCTTGGAGCATCCATGCCATTCAAAATAAAGTTTTTTTTTTTACAACATAGGTAATACCATTAATAGAAATCTCAATAATTATTTGTATAGCAATGATAAATATCAAACAATGCTTCTGAAAGAATTGGACCTAGGTAGCCTCTCCATGGCATACGTAGAGATTACTTTACACATTGTAATTTTTTTGAAGGGTTTGATGACATCAAAAGAGGAACAGCGGAAAAAAAAAGTATAATATATGAGTATATAAAGATAAATATTTCTTTCTTGTGAATGAGAGATGTATAAGAACATATGGTAAATAAACCAAAATACTCAAAAAAAAAAGGGTAGGCAAGAAAAGAAATAAGATAAGCAACAACTTTCCAAGTTCTCTTACTTGAGCAACATTGACAGCACTCCATAATAACCATTAACTGAACTGAGAACCAAAAAGAACCCTACAAGAGTAAGTTCACCAAATTGGCAACCGCAAGAAATAACCGAACAGATTTTAAGATTATTCTCCAACCAAAAGGTGTAGACATTTGACACCAGCATAAATGGCACATTAGCAAAAGCAAGCTTGGCTTCTTTAATCCACTCACAACTTCTTAGACAACCTATAAAAAGTACTCCACATTCTGTGGACAAATTCAACATTTACCAAAAGTACCAAAGAAGTCTACTACTCAAATAAATAGTATTAGTTGGTGTAAAAAAATGGCAATTGGTTCAAAGAAACAAACAAACTGCTATGTGTATATGTGTGAGACAAGAGGAATCAAATGAGTATGGGAAGTGTAACTCTGTAATATTATTATTGAAATATGAGCTTATCACAATGGACGGTGGTTGTTACCCCCGGAATCACTTGGGACCAAATTATGGAGGCAGGTTGCATAACCAGATGGGGGCTGTTTGTAGATAAAGGCAAGAGAATGTAGGGTTGAGTATGATCTGCTTTGAAACTGCATACAGTTTCATTAATTTGCTGGTCAAAATGTTTTCCGCTGGCCGAACAAACCTTTTTCATAAAAGTGAAATTTGGCCAAAGTTTGTTTAGCTGGCCGAGAGACATTAAAATTTTACGAATTATGTATGTTTAGATGCTATAAATTTACAGTTGCTTGCTCATTAATTAATAAAGAATATTTGTCATCCAAAGGTGGAAATTTTAGAGGAAAGGCTCAGGCCCATTGAAGATGATGGAAGTTATGGTTTTAAGGATGGTACAGGAATATGCCTGGTCCTGGATGTATTGATTCCCCCAAAATTCAAGGTGTTAGACTTTGAGAAATATGGAGGAACCACCTCCCGAGAGCCACCTCACTAAGTGTTGGAAGTCTCATATCAACTAGAGATAAGGCCAATTTAAAGTATATAAGTGGATGCAAACCTCACCTTACAAGCCGGTTTTGTGGGGTTGAGCTAGGCTTAAAGTCCAATTCTTAACATGGTATCAAAGCCAAGTTAGAACCTATCCTAGTGATATTTATTGTTTGTTGGGCATATTGTTCCACCCGCTATCGGGCTGCTATCAGACCACCCGTTAATGTCTAGTTTCACGCTCGAGATATATATACCTCAGCGCGAGGGGGGTGTGTTAGAAGTCTCACATCGACTAGAGATAAAGTCAATTTATAGTATATAAGTGGGTGCAAACCTCACCTTACAAGCTAGTTTTGTGGGATTCAGTTAGCTTAAAGTTCACTTCTTCACATGGTATCAGAGTCAAGTTAGAGTCTATCCTAGTGATATTTGTTGTTTGTTGTGCGTATTGTTCCATCTGCTATCGAACCACCCATTAATATCTAGTCTCACGCTCGAGATGTATATACTTCGATGCGAGGGGTATGTTGGAAGTTTCACATCGACTTGAGATAAGACCAATTTAAAGTACATAAATGGATGCAAACCTCACCTTACAAGCTGGTTTTGGAGGGTTGAGTTAGGTTTAAAATCTACTTCTTAACACTAAGTACTGCAGGAAGATTGTTGCACATGCACATGACAAGAAACTATTGATACACTTCTTTCAACACAGTCTAGCCAATATAGGGCTTAATTGGTGTATGCATCTCGAGCCATCACACATTCGTTCCTAGAAGGACTTGGTCGACACATTTCTAAAACAGTACAAATATAATAAGACATGGCACTAGACAAACTTTAGATGCAAGGCATGATGAAGAATGAATCTGAAACCTTCAATGAATATGCTCAACTATGGATGGAGATTGCTGCTCAAGTGGAGCCACCCTTTCACTATAAATAAAAGGTGGCCATGTTTGTTGACACATTGCAACCTCCTTCCGATGAACCTATGGTGGGTAGCGTCTCCTCCAATTTCGTAGACATTATTATCATTGGTAAAAGAATTGAAATTGGGTCAAAGAGAAGCAAAATTGCACATGGTCTATCTGCGGTTGCAACCACTAAAAAGCCTAGTTTCAATTTATGAAACAAAAAGGAAGGAGAAGCCCATGCAACATCAGGCATGCCTTTTGTGAAAAACTATGCTCCACCCTGCTATAAGCAGAGTTATCAACAACATGCAAATCAGTGCATACAAGAGGGTTGAATTATAAAAAAGAAAAGATTGAACATAATTGTTTAGCAACAAGTATGTTTTTTGAACTATGAGAACTGGATGTAATATAGTATATCAAGAACAGGTGCTGATATTGAAGACAAAAATTTTGGTTTCAAAAGAATAGTCAAAACTAATGGCAACGAATAAACTTTGCCAGACTTGAAAACTTACCTCTTGTTGCCACTAATCAAAACCATGGTCACAGGCCCGGTAACACGACACCCCCACCTACATAAAATTAAAATGATACTCATAAAACACTAAATCAAACTTGTCAAAACTACAGCATGTGCTACTTTCCAGAAGCAATATACCAAAGTTCCTATGTACGAATTCATGACCAAGTACCAAAACGAGTACATATTCTTAGTTAAGCTGTTGAGGTAAAAAAGGATAAAGTAACAATAACATCATAACCAGGAGTGAATAGAGAAAATTATGAACAAATAGTGTGATGTAAAGTCAGATACCAAAGAGGTAAATTTTGTGGGTTCTTCCTAACAGGTTTGGTAATTAGGGGTTCGTTTTGGCTGTTATAAAAATTATAAATTCAATTACAACAGAAAAAAAAACGAAAAAAAAAAAAACTTGATGAAAAAGGGTTATCGGAATAGGTAACTGAAGCATTTTTCAAAGAAAAAAGAATTCCGAAGAAACGCCCAGAAGCAGAAATCTTAAGATTTTGCGTTACGAGGTAAAACAAATTGCATTTTGAAGCGAATGGAGGAAGAAGAGATTGAGGGTTTTGCGAATTATTACCTTATATTTAGAACAATTGATCAGAGTAGCTTGCGTGTCTGTGTGCTATTTGGTTTCAACTTGTGTTATGCGTCGGCCTCTGAAGCTGAAACTGAACTGATGGGAAATGGTGTGTCAATGCTATATAGGACAATGGAATTTACGATAATCATCTCCCCATTAGGGTTATTGTTATGAATACAGTAAAAAAAACCAAATCTATTTATTAACATTATTGAAAACTGAATTAATTTAAGACTAAATTTTGATATAATTAATTCATATATGTATATAATTTAATTTAATAATTAATAATTTAGTTATTGAACTAAAACTTTTCATAGAATAAATTAAGTTTATGCTTTTTTATTAAAATTTAAATTACTTAATTATTTATTAAAAAATTAATTTAAAGTATGATAGTTTTCTAAAAGATAAATTACATGACTAATACAAATATTCATTTACAAAATATAATTTATTTTAAAAAGATATATACATACATACATATTTACAGATTATATGGTTATAATTTAATATTTATAATAATATTCAATACAGTAACTCAACTTTTGTTGCTATTATTATATAAAAAATAGGCCTTTGGCACCTCTCCAAATAAACAAAAAATAAAGGAGGCAGCAAGTTAAATCAAAATGATGGTACATAGTTGAGTGAAAAAAAAATAGTTATAGCTTAATAGTGTAATCATTTCAACATGCATGACAGATAAAGCTGACTAGAGAAAATTGAGGACAAAAAAACATATGATTAAGATATTTATTTTTAAATTTCAATAACCTAAGACCATGATTTTTTTAAAAAAATTAAATTTAATGAATGTATCCATGTGACTACTCCCCAACCTCAAACAGTTCACAAATCAACCACTGAACATTTTTTTATTAATTGCAATAACCCATCCTCAACTTTTGTTTTCTGTTTTCCTCAACTTTTGTTTTCTGTTTTCCAAAAACTAAGTCACAAAATTTATACATCCTCAAAATATTTAAACAAATTTTTGTTGGTTCATTAGCTTTAGAATTTGTCTTTGATACGGTCAGCAGAAAATGTCCAAAGTCAAATACGTGTATAGAAGGAGATACAAGTGTGATGCAGCTAATCAAAATTCGGGAGGAGAGAAATAATAGAAATTACACAGCTGGCAGCTTGGAATATGCGTCACTCGAAGTTAGTTACAAAGGAAAAATGCTTATAAGAAAGGGAGTAGGGAAGAGGGAGGAGAGGACAGTGGGCTATGGAATGGACTAGAATTTTGGGTTTTCTTTGTCTATGTGATATTTCTTAATACAATAACAGAATTGGTCTTGAATCACGTTGATTAGACCAAATTTCATAATATAACTCGTATTCCTTTTGTCTTTTGTATTGACTTCATTGTTGGTTTTGATCAACTGGCATGAGCTCTTGATCCCACGAGCTTGAATAGTTGTCACACGATCTATAATGGAGGGCAGAATGGAGAATGTAGAATAAAGCTTACAAGCTCAGCAATCAGAACTTAGTGAGATCAAGCAGATCCTGCTGCAAAGAGATAGACCTCAATTTTCTCGACGATCCTATCGACCACGTAGTCAGACTAGAATTTCGGATGAAGACGAGGAATGGAGTAATTATTCGGTGTCTAGATCACAACCACCACGAAGATATGGGAGCCCACCTCGAGTGTATGATTTTGGGGTAAGGAAGATGGAGATTCCGATGTTCAATGGAGATGATACATACGGTTGGTTTGTTCGGGTGGAGCTTTACTTTAAATTGAATTCAATTTCGGAGGATGAAAAATTGGATGCGGTGATGGTAGCTTTGGAAAGTCAAGCCCTGAATTGGTACCAATGGTGGGAGGAGCAGACGACGGGTCAGAGTTGGGAGGATTTCAAGACAACGACGCTCCGATGCTTCCAACCTTGATTGGCTCAAAACCAATTTGAACCTTTGTTAAGCATTAAACAAACGGGACAATGATGGAGTATTTGTTAGCGAACAGAAATTTTTGTGATATCTCGAAGTCAAGTCTAGAGTGTTTTTAGTGTAGGAAGATCTTAATCAAGACTTGTTTTTATATTAAAGTTTTTATAATTTAGTATATTTATATATAGAATGTGGTTTATATTTGATTCTATGTATGTATTGTTTCTCTTAGGTTGAGTTAAAATTTATTTTGAATCAGAAAACTTCATTTTTATACTCAAGATAATTGATTATCAATTTATAATAATCGATAATCAGTAATTAATTATGACTTACCATAATTGATAATAATGAACAATTCTGAAGATAATTGATTATCAATTTATAATAATCGATTATCAGTAATTAATTATGACTTGCCATAATTGATTATAATGAACAATTATGAGAATTTTTATAAGCAAGTTTTTTTACCGTTGTACATTCATTAAATGCATAATTAATTACCATAATTGTATAATTGATTATCACACATTAATTAGTTAACAATAGATTTTTTGGGTATTCTTGAGTGAGATCTCTATAAATCAGATTGAGAGTTTCATTCTAAAATACGAAATACAAAATAGAAATAAGTATATTTTGAAAAATCTTATCTGCAGTGTGTAATGATAGTTCTAGGGTTTGTTGAACCCTTATGTTGTGGCTTTGAGAACTTGGCGTGTTGACATAGAGCGAGAACTTTCACAAGGAGTGTGATTGATTGTTGTTGTTGCTGAGTTAAGAGCCTATCATCCTTCGTGAAACATTCGGAGGAGGTGTTCATCCTTTGTGAAGATTCAGAGGAGGTGTTCATCCTTTTTGGGTTACAGGGGAAGTTACTTTCATCTCTTTGGGTAACAAGATAGGTTTTTTCTAAACTTTTACAAATTGTTTCTTTGTGATTGTAATTTGTAATTGTTTTGTGAGTAGTGAACTGTTTATCTTGATTTGAGATAAGCGACTGGATGTAGGATTGGTAAGATCCGAACCAGGATAAAATCATCTGTGCAAATTTCTCTCAACCTTACTCTCTTTATTTGTTATTATTATTTGTTTGGTAAGTTTAATTGAGTAGAAATTAAAAGGCACACATTCGTATTAAAAACCCTCTTGGTTTGTTATTCCACGCTAATTATTCTGCTGCAGCCACTCTAACAATGGGCATCAGAGCTTGATTTGATAGTTATTCAAATGGCAGGATCATATCAAACTTTTGCAGAGGGTGCTTCTATCAATAGACCACCCCTATTCACANTACTCCCCAACCTCAAACAGTTCACAAATCAACCACTGAACATTTTTTTATTAATTGCAATAACCCATCCTCAACTTTTGTTTTCTGTTTTCCTCAACTTTTGTTTTCTGTTTTCCAAAAACTAAGTCACAAAATTTATACATCCTCAAAATATTTAAACAAATTTTTGTTGGTTCATTAGCTTTAGAATTTGTCTTTGATACGGTCAGCAGAAAATGTCCAAAGTCAAATACGTGTATAGAAGGAGATACAAGTGTGATGCAGCTAATCAAAATTCGGGAGGAGAGAAATAATAGAAATTACACAGCTGGCAGCTTGGAATATGCGTCACTCGAAGTTAGTTACAAAGGAAAAATGCTTATAAGAAAGGGAGTAGGGAAGAGGGAGGAGAGGACAGTGGGCTATGGAATGGACTAGAATTTTGGGTTTTCTTTGTCTATGTGATATTTCTTAATACAATAACAGAATTGGTCTTGAATCACGTTGATTAGACCAAATTTCATAATATAACTCGTATTCCTTTTGTCTTTTGTATTGACTTCATTGTTGGTTTTGATCAACTGGCATGAGCTCTTGATCCCACGAGCTTGAATAGTTGTCACACGATCTATAATGGAGGGCAGAATGGAGAATGTAGAATAAAGCTTACAAGCTCAGCAATCAGAACTTAGTGAGATCAAGCAGATCCTGCTGCAAAGAGATAGACCTCAATTTTCTCGACGATCCTATCGACCACGTAGTCAGACTAGAATTTCGGATGAAGACGAGGAATGGAGTAATTATTCGGTGTCTAGATCACAACCACCACGAAGATATGGGAGCCCACCTCGAGTGTATGATTTTGGGGTAAGGAAGATGGAGATTCCGATGTTCAATGGAGATGACACATACGGTTGGTTTGTTCGGGTGGAGCATTACTTTAAATTGAATTCAATTTCGGAGGATGAAAAATTGGATGCGGTGATGGTAGCTTTGGAAAGTCAAGCCCTGAATTGGTACCAATGGTGGGAGGAGCAGACGACGGGTCAGAGTTGGGAGGATTTCAAGACAACGACGCTCCGATGCTTCCAACCTTGATTGGCTCAAAACCAATTTGAACCTTTGTTAAGCATTAAACAAACGGGACAATGATGGAGTATTTGTTAGCGAACAGAAATTTTTGTGATATCTCGAAGTCAAGTCTAGAGTGTTTTTAGTGTAGGAAGATCTTAATCAAGACTTGTTTTTATATTAAAGTTTTTATAATTTAGTATATTTATATATAGAATGTGGTTTATATTTGATTCTATGTATGTATTGTTTCTCTTAGGTTGAGTTAAAATTTATTTTGAATCAGAAAACTTCATTTTTATACTCAAGATAATTGATTATCAATTTATAATAATCGATAATCAGTAATTAATTATGACTTACCATAATTGATAATAATGAACAATTCTGAAGATAATTGATTATCAATTTATAATAATCGATTATCAGTAATTAATTATGACTTGCCATAATTGATTATAATGAACAATTATGAGAATTTTTATAAGCAAGTTTTTTTACCGTTGTACATTCATTAAATGCATAATTAATTACCATAATTGTATAATTGATTATCACACATTAATTAGTTAACAATAGATTTTTTGGGTATTCTTGAGTGAGATCTCTATAAATCAGATTGAGAGTTTCATTCTAAAATACGAAATACAAAATAGAAATAAGTATATTTTGAAAAATCTTATCTGCAGTGTGTAATGATAGTTCTAGGGTTTGTTGAACCCTTATGTTGTGGCTTTGAGAACTTGGCGTGTTGACATAGAGCGAGAACTTTCACAAGGAGTGTGATTGATTGTTGTTGTTGCTGAGTTAAGAGCCTATCATCCTTCGTGAAACATTCGGAGGAGGTGTTCATCCTTTGTGAAGATTCAGAGGAGGTGTTCATCCCTTGTGGGTTACAGGGGAAGTAACTTTCATCTC